GGCAGGCAAGGGCGAGTCCTTCTACTGTCCAGACTCTACTCGGGTATCCTCAGGCGGCGATGGTAGCAAATCCCACGAGAAGTGGTAGAAGGGGCGGTCCTACCAAAACCCCAAAGTCCAAGCTGCAACGGAAGCCCCATGTGCACCTCGCTGGGGCCCCCCTGGTCCCCCTACACGTCAGCTCTGGCCCGACTGGTAAGCGTCACTGCGTGTGGATTCAAGTCCAGCCGACTGCGAGACAGATGTAAAATGGGGCCCCCCAACCCCCACCCGCCACCCGCCGCCCGCCCGCTGGGGCCTGGGGGAGGTTCTCAACACGCTCGTTTCTGTATTTCAGTTTTGCCTTTCTCAAGCCAGCCTCTGGGAGAGGGTCTGAGCATCTTTCTCTAAAAGCGCACGGGGAACTATAGAGAGAGAAGTCCATGTGAAGTCACGCAGCCGCTCCGAGCACCAAGGCATGCCCCTCCGCGAGCAGAGAACGCGCCGCTGCACGTGCCGTGTATACTCCGTTCGGCCAAATAATTATCTTGTTCAAATGCACTTCGCTCAATATGGTGCTTGTTAAAAGCTTATTAGAGAAATAATCACCCTTGAGGTATCTGTCAGCTGTTCAGACATCACCGTGGGGAATAAACAACAAGGTCTTTGAAGTGGACAGGAGGAAGAAAACAACTTAGGGTGATGATATATACACATATAAAAGTACCTAGTTGTCCACAGAGAAAGATCTATTTTAGATATCGAGATATACATATATATACACACATATATATGTGTGTATATATATGTATATCCCACCACCAATTCACTCCATGCTCCTGGCGATCACAACTGCTTTGCAAGCCCTCAACTGAAAAAAGCCGCTGCAAAGAAGCTGCAAATGGTTTCCCCCCTCATCACTGGACCTGCCAAACTCCCAAGTGGGTGTGGATCTTTCTGGAATTAACTTTCTGTGTCCTCAGTCCCTGGCCTGCTTCTTGGGGCCCTTGGGGAAGGAAAGCTATGTCTGATGGTCCGACCTGGGACTGGGGGCCAGCGGAGAGATGCGTGGGCTTGCCACACTTGTCCTGTGACACTGCGGGGCGGGCTGTGGGGAGGGGGCAGAGAACATCTTTGCCAAGCAGGGATTAAAGCAGGGCCCACGGGCTCTGAGGTCAGAGAAAGTCAGAGGAGCTCAGATGCGTTCTCACACAGGGAAGACCAGAATTATCACGTGTGTCCAGGGTGAGTGGGAAGGCAGGAGGCAGAGGACGTCCTCGTGGCAGAGGGGCCTGTCCAGGAGGTGGCGGGCGCCCTGTCCAGGAGACCCCAACTCGGATCCTGATCAGCCCGAGCAAGGCCCTTGCTCTCAAGCCACTGGTCTCCTCATCTGCAGAACAGACGTCTAAATGCACAATGCTGAGGTACCCCTGACCCCCAACGGTAGGGTTCTGTGGCTGAGAAGCCAGGACGCCACCCTGTTTCCAACAAGGGCCAGGGCAATGCCATGGCAAGGGCTCTAGCTATGCCTGACTCTGGTCTGTGGTGGTCCCTGGAGTTAGGACACTAGGCTGTCCTCTGGACCTGAGAGGGGCCTCAGCCCAGGACCCTCGCCTCTCTCCATGTGGGCCCAGAGAGGTCGTGAGAAATCAAGAGGTCGGGTGCAGCAGAGGACATGTACAAAGTTACCAAACCTTCCAGGCAGCTGATGAGCACCCACCCAGTGAATGGGCAGGACAGGAGGGAGGTAGAGAAGCCACAAAGATAGCCCTTGGGGAACTCGGGAGCCTGCGGTTCCTGTTCCCGTATCCAGGCCACTGCAGTTCTATGGCTGCAGTTCCAGGACTTAGCACTTCCGGCAGCAAGTCCTAGAATACTGTGGTTCTGAGGCTCTAGGATTCTAGCAACTGAAGGCTTTGTCATTTTCAGGTTCCAGAACCACCTTCCTGGAGCTCCAGGATCCCAGCCTAGGATCCCAGGCTTTGCAGAGTTCACGATTCTAAGACTTTCCTCTACTTCCGGAAGGAGCACCCCACCAACAGGGCCCCACGCCTCCAGGGGGTGACACTGTCCCCACAAACTATCCCCAAACTGGGTCTGTCACGGTCCCAGCGGGCGACCGCCATGCCCACCGTCTCTCTCCCACCCCACTGCCTACGGTGGTGGCTGACACAGGGCAGACTCCATAAATCAATAGCATCGGTGGAATGAATGAATGGGTTTGCTAGAGGGAGCGCGCTGGGAGCAAAGTGCAAAATACAGAAACCAAAGCTGAGAAGGTGGTGATGGAATGCCGACTGGTGGCTGGCTTGGGCCTGAGTTAGGAAAGTGGTTTCTGTTGCTGAAACCAGGAGTTTGCTGGGGAAGGAGAGGGAGGGAAGACCACACAAGAGTAGCTAAGTATTCCCCCAACTTAACCAACCCCCATGTTTCTGCTAGCCCCTTGGGCCAAATTGCAAAGTGCTTAAAATTTAGCTTTTGTACTCTTTGATATGTGGGGGACATCTTGGTGGGGGGGGTCCGTTTCGGAAACCAGGCTCGTCCCCCCCCCAAAGCCCCCTGGGGTCTGGCTTCATGCCTGCAGTACTTGGCTTACACACTAGGTGGCAGTGCCCACCACCACTGCCACCAATACCACCATACCTGACTCAGCCACATCAGCAATGTCCACCCCTTGCTCTTGTGCCATGAAGCCCAGGATGGAAAAAATTGCGAAGCCAGACACAAAACTGGTACCACTGTTCAGGCATCCCAGCAGCATACAGTCCCTAAGTTACACATATGTCAGGGAGCAAGTTAATTCACAACACAAGGAAGCCACGCTCCCTACTTCTTCTCTTTTTTTTCTTTAAACATCATCATTTCTAAGGTTTACCAGGCCCGCTGGCGCGACACTTGCCTGTACGAGTTGTACTTGTACTTGTTGTAGCTCCCCAGAGAGGTCATGGCCCCCAGGCAGATGGCGTAGGAGAAGAATATCTGGGTCCCGGCATCAATCCATACCTACGGGGGTTGGGGCGGGAGTGTAAGGAGAGAGAGAAGGGGCCGTTAGGACCAGCTTCCTGGAGGGGGCAGTGCAGGCCCTGGGCACCTCAAAATGTGCAGACTCTTGACTGCAATGTGAGCACTTGTGCTGGAATCCAAGGCGTCTTTGAAGGCAATACTGAGCTGCAAGGAAGCCCAGAAGTCAAAGAAACCCCCAGTCACTGAGCGTCAGGATTAGGAGGATGGACTTTTGAAGCAGACAGATCTGAATTCCAACTGTGAAATGATTGTGGGCAATAGGGACTCCCGCCTGGAGCCTCAGTTTTCACATCTGTACCATGGGCTCCACTGCCCTGACGCACAGCACTATCATGCCTATTTTCGGAAAATAGATTCAGCCCAGTGCAGGCACAGGGTAAGACCGTGAAGTCAAGGCCGCTATCGTTACCGTAACTGCTATTGTCCGGGGACCCCCGAGTTGGAACGGGGAGGATTCCCGAACGGATTATGCAGGCAAAGCTGCTCTCCAGAACTTTCCTTGAGCAGCTCCCGATGGCCACAAAACTGCCTTCCCAGCTGTCCTCTGATGTTGGCCAAGCCCCCTCTCACCTAGGAGAGGGCGAGAGGGCAGTGGGGAGGAGACCCAGAGCAGCACAGGACCTTGAAGGCAACTTGAAGGTTGAGGATCCCGGGGACAAAAGGTCCTCAAATGGGCCAGTAAAACATTGTAGGGTGTTCTCCAACCTCCCGCGGTCACATGGCTGACTGCCAGGAGCCAGACGTTCAGTACCTGCCCCCTGACCTTCCAAGAGCTCATCGCCAACTCTGAATTCCGACCTCGGCCAAGGAAGCCAGAAGCGGCACTGCTGAGCCGACTCTCCCATCCCCACGAGGCAGCCCTCTCGGCCACTGCGGGCAGAGGCCAGGGGCGAGGAGGAGGCTGGCTCCTGAGACCAGCCCCCCCTTACCTGGCACAGGGCCCGAAGAAGACTATAACTGGCTGGCCTCAGGAGGCCTCGACATGAAAAGATACGCCCACAGCGGGAAGGGCCCATGTGCACGGTGAACAAACTGCCACGGCCCAGCGGAAAAGTACCGGAGCCGGACGGCCCGACCAGATGCGTGTGCCCAAGAACCGCGGAAACTGGGCCGCCAGCTTCGCTTCCCCCGCACCCTGCCCTGCCTGGCCCCGGGTGAGAGGGAGGACAGGCTGCCTCCTGGTGTACCTGTGGGTCCTCCAGGCGGCTGATGTCGGGGTACAGATAAAACTTGATGCCTGCGCCTGCACCGGGCAGTGTCAGTCCACGGACCAGCAGCACCAGGAGCATGGCGAAGGGGAAGGTGGCCGTGAAGTAGACAACCTGTGAGGGACGAGAGGGATTCAGGGGGGCCCGTGGCCTCACCTGCTGCTGTCACATTCCAGCATTCCCTCCGGAGCCGAAGGTCTGGAGCTGAGCCTGCTGCTTCACGTGCTGTGTGACCTTACACATATCATTTAACCTCTCGGGGCCTCAGTTGCCTCACCTGTAACCTGGGTATCACACAAGTACTCACCTCACAGATTTACTGAGATTCAATGAAAGCAATCCTATGAATATTTACTGAACATCTAGGCCCTGGCAATAGAGCGGTGGACAAGGCAGAAAACGAATCCCTGCCCTCACGAACAGACACTCATGGAAAGTAAGAGTGTGAACTATCAAGTGTATGTGTAAAAGGCTGACCCCAGTGGTTGGCGTGTGACACTCAGTACGTGTTAGCTGACATTACAACTGTTAGTACGACTCTTGTGGTTCGGGATCAGTTAAGTGTGGGTTCAATTCCCAGCTCCGTCCCCTCTCTTGCTGGGTGGCCTTGGCCATGATGCTTAACCTTTCTGGGACTGTTCCCTCATGTGTAAGTGGAGACAAAAGTAATAAAAGACCTCTGTCAAAAGCTGAGGTGAGTGCCTGGCACTTCGGTGCTCGAGAAATGGGGCCTGTTGTTGACTCTGATTTTGTAGGAAGGACATGAGAACTTCTAGGAGGAGATGAAGTCTCTAAAGCCCCTTGGCCAGGAGATGGGGAGGAGCCTCCACTCCCTTGGGGCCGTGGGAGGCCCACGGCCTTCCCTGGATCACACAGCACATCCCAGGCAACCTAAGGCCAATTGGAGGTGGGGACCAGAGACGACCGAGGCTGTGCCGTGCCATTGCCAAGGGCCTGCCCTCCATATCCTCCCCTGTCCTGAGAGCGCTGGTCTTCAAACACCGTGTGGCTTCAGTTCTCTTAGATGGATTTCCTAATCTTTTCCTTCAACCCGAGAAGTTTCCAGGCAGGGTTTATGCCTGGGAGGGGCTCAGAGGTGCACAGCTCTGAACAGGCAGCGAACTCCTGGTACTTCCGGCAGGACACTGGCTGAATGAGGACTCCCCAGGCCCGAGCCCACTTCGTGCTCACCACATCCCCCCTAAACTGGTGTGCTGGCCACCGTGCTGACAGAGGAGGAACCGAGGCTCAACAGGGCTTGAAGACTTGCCCAGGTCATCTAAAGAACACAGGACCTGCACCCAGGGCCCGTGGAGATGAACCACCTCGCTCTGAGCAAAGGCATGAGGTATTTCACTTTGCCGATGGAGCACATACAGAAAGGTCATGTTGACCACCTGAAATGCTAAGACTAGGTCGCAGAGCCCCTGACTCCCTCGGGACCTCAGAAAGGAACGACTATGTAGCCAATGCACCTGTTTTACAGGTGAGGAAACAGACACCCAGAGAGCATGAATGTGTCTGTGGTGCTGGGGGGCGGGGGCAGTGCTAGGTTACTGCAGCCAGAAGTGCCCAGGTGGGTAACAGAGGCCAATGGAGGCTGACAGACCCTGAACCCCACCGATCTGGCACAGGAACCCTCACTGGAGCACAGTTCTTGGATGGCCAACATCCCTTTGAGTAGAAAGAACTAGAAAGGGCCTCTGGAAAAGGGCAAGAAAAAAGCTCTCAGGACCCGCCTGGCTCGGCTGCCCTCAGCCAGTACCGCCAACCAGCACTTATTGAATGCTTACTGTGAGCGTGGTACTATTCCAAGTGCAGCAACTTCTATACTTAGTTGGTCCTGCCCTACCCTA